CGCTCCCAGCCACCGCAACCTCGACCTGCTGGGCTCCGGCGATCCTTCCGCCTCAGCCTCCCAAGTAGCTGGAACCACAGGCACGCACCACCACGCCCAGCTAGTTTTTTTATTTATTGTAGAGACGAGGTCTCGCCAAGTTGCCCGGGCTGGTCTTGAACCCCTGGGCTAGGCAATCCTCTTGCCTCGACCTCTCAAAGTGCTGGGATTACAGATGTGAGCCATTGTGCCCAACCTAGACTGGGGGTTTTAACCTGTAACCTCAGCCATCCCGAGGGCCTCTCTTTTAGAGGCTGCCCTGGGTGCCAGGAGGGGAGAGGTTCATTTCTAGAGTTTCACGTTTATTTTATTTTATTTTATTTATGTACTTATTTTAAGTTAACATCTCACTCCGTTACCCAGGCTAGAGGGCTGTGGCACAATCACAGCTCACTGCAGCCTCGACCTCCTGGGCTCAGGTGATCCTTCTGCCTTAGCCTCCCGAGTAGCTGGGGCTGCAAGCATGCACCACCATACCTGGCTTATTTCTGTAGATACAAGGTCTCGCTATGTTGCCCAGGCTGATATCGATCTCCTGGGCTCAAGCCATCCTCCCGCCTCAGCCTCGCAAAGTGCTGGGATTACAGGTGTGAGCCTCTGCGCCCAACCTAGGCTTGTCTTATTTAATCTTTGACTCCAGCATAATTATACTATATATAATATACAGAGAGTCACAGATTAGAGTCACGGATTGTTGGAGTGATCAATTCCTAGAATCTTGGACTATCAGAGTTTGAAGGACCCTCTATATGATTGGATTAGGACTTAATCTACATAATTTTAGATATTTACATATTATATACATTATAAATGTTTATTATAATGTCCAGCTGAACTCGGTGGCTCAACCTATAATCCTGCGCTTTGAGAGGCTGAGGTGAGTGGATTGCCTGAGCCTGCGGGTTCGAGACCCGCCTGGGCAACTTGGCAAGACCTCATCTCCACAATAAATCAAAAAATTAGCCAGGTGTGGCGATGCACGCCTGTAGTTCCAGCTACTTGGAAGGCTGAGGCAGAAGCATCACCAGAGCCCAGCAAGTCTAGGCTGCGGAGGCCAGGAGCGGCCACTGCACTCCAGTCTGAACGACAGAGTGAGACTCCAACTCAAAAAATAATATTAATAATAATAATAATAATAATAATAACAATGTCCAGAATGGGGAAACTGAGGCCAGAGAGGTAGAATGGCTCCACCCGGGTCCCCCCATGTGTTAGGGGGAGAACCACTGGGGGGCCCAGGCATGCGGCACTGCTCTGCGTGAGGGCCACCAGCCTCAGGGGACTTGGGACACCCCGTTGTTCTGAGGACCCAGCCGTGACCCAATGGGAGACCCAGACGACCCAGACCCTTCTCCTCAGCTGCCCTGGGGCCCAGTGCCGAGATCTCACCCGCAGTCTTGGCTCTGTGTCTCTCTGGACCCTGCTGTGCGACCTTGGGCAGCCAGCTACCTTTCCACGCTGGGTCTCAGGTTACTGTCTGTAAGCAAGAAGTAGTACGCATGGCCCAGGGGGTCCTCCCAGTCCAAGAGTCTAGGAATTGGCCACTCCAGCAATCTCTGACTCTCACATCTGTTATGGTTGGGTGTGGTGGCTCACGTCTGTAATCTTAGCACTTTGGGAGGCCAAAGCAGGAGGATCGCTTGTGGCCAGGAGTCCAAGAACAGCCTGGGAAGCATAGCCAGCCCTGTCTCTACCAAAAACAAGAGGGCCAGGCACCGTGGCTCTCGCCTGTGATCCTAGCACTTTGGGAGGCCAAGGCAGGAGGATGGCTTGAGCCCAGGAGTTTGAGCCAGCCTAAGCAATCATATAGCAAGACCTTGACTCTACAAAAATCAGAAAAACATTCGCCAGGCACAGAATCACTGGAGCCCAGGAGGTCAAGGCTGTGGTGAGCCAAGATTGTACTATTGCTATTACACTTCAACTTGGATGACAGAGTGAGACCCCAACTCAAAAAAAAAAGAGAAGCCGGGCTCGTGGCTCAGCCTATAATCCCGCGCCTTTGGGAGGCTGAGGTGAGTGGATGGCCTGAGCCC